TCTCATCCTAATCAACATTTGAATTTCAATACAGTTTCCAATAATGAATAAACGATTTTGTTGAAAATATCTGTTTTATGAAATCCTAATGTACTTTCTTTTGTATTGGGGGTGGTAGGGTAGCCTAGTTGGTAAAGCGTTCTCTGAAATCCCGGGTTCGATTCCCAACATGGGTACAATGCGTGAAGCCCATTTCTGGTGTCCACGCCGTGATATTGCCGGAATATTGCTAAAAGCCGCATGAAACTATACTAAATCACTCGCTCATTATATTGTATTTTGAGATCACTTACATGAAAGTTTTGATTATTATGAATAGTTCTGTTTTTATGTATTAGAACCTATGTTACCTAGTTTTGCAATGTCTTGTTTACCCTCCTTTATATTTTGATGTAATGCAAACATTCGAGAAATATTCAGGAGGGCCTTGTGGCTCTACAGGTATTGTTTTAGAAGACCGGATACAATTTTGTATTTTCGGTACACTTGACTGTTTGCAATGGCTTTTTTACATGTTCAAAGATTGGTTAAATGTCAGTTGCATGATAAATGTCAATACCTTACTGTTCGAGAAAACAACTTTTAACCCTTTGTAAATATATATGTGTTTCCTTATTTTTGAATAATAAGTTTCTAGAAATATTTCAGGTGCCTGGATTTCACAATGTGACACCAGCTACATTTAAGAAGATCCTACTCTGACATGTTTAACAAAGGACTCATCGGATGATGTAATCCTCCCCAGAACAACCAACAGATTCACCTCAGAGAGTGATGATTCTGAAGGAATAATGCTACATCAGTGTGACTGTGGGTGGTTTTATTACGACACTAATCAAGTCTGAATGAATTTATGCCACAACACTGTGACTATGTCCAGGTTGTGTATACCGAGGCTGACTATACAAATCTGAATGACTTTTGTGGTTGACTGCAGAAGCGTAATTGACTTTAGATATTCTTCTTCCATGAAATTCTTCTGAGATTTGACTTATTTGTTTATTTAGAAAATGGCATTGAAGCGTCTGTTTCTGTAAGTTCTAGCAAACACCACTGGTTACTTTATGCTAGTTCCTCTTCTGGCTTGATCAAATTTCAATTTTTGATATGTACCAATGAGATGTCATATAATCAATAAATATCTTTTTTTTTCTAAAAACATTATTTGTTTTGGTTCATTGTATATAATTAGCATAAAGAAATATAATACTGATCAGCCCCAACACAGGTGCTGAACATATATCAAATATACCAATGCACTGAATGTTTTTTCTCAAAGTAATACAGCTCACTAAACAAAGGTTTTAGTTTCATGTTAGTAGAAAAATGACATTGATATTTATTATGTACTTTATTTCGTTATTTTCTCTGGATGCCATCAGTCTTATACACCTATTTGGGGCAGTAGTATTCTGTTTCGAACTTCAATGAAACTAGACTGTCCAGATATAACAAGTACTGATACCGTTCCTAACTAATCTTTTAATTTCACCAGGACCAAATGCCAAAGTGAGCACATAGCTTTCCATTTTCTCTGAGAATGGTGTTATGCCACTTTTAGCAATATTGCAACAATATCACAGTGGGTGACACAAGCAATAAGCTTCTCACAAATTGTACCCATGTGACGACTCAAACCCGGGCCTTTGGTGTGACAAGTGAACGCTCCAACCACTAGGCTACCCCACTGCCCCTTTTTCTCAGAACAAACTGATAATATGAACATTGAATTTAATGATATTACCATACTAGAACTGATGTTTGTTCGTTAAATATGCTTAACATCTAAAAAGAACGTTATATAAAATTGAAAAATTGTCTTCTCCAAAAGTATACATGCCCAACGATATCAGCTTCAGGAGGATATACAACTAAAACAACACAGGATATTACAACAGCTATCTGAGATGCCCAGGCTAACATTCTTTACTAGAAACAAGACATGAAGAAAATTTACATCCGGATACCTTCAGCAATCTTCAATTGCCTTGGTAAGTTTCAAATATTTTTTTATGTGTTTCACAAAATGCACCCCCAAATTTGGACATTTTTGGGGAAGGTTTCCGGAAGGTTTCTGGGACGGATTCAAAATGAGAAGGTATCCGGAAGGTTTTTGGGAAAACGGAAAACTACACTTTTTTGCTGTGAGATATGGCAGTTAGTTTGCTATTCGTGTTTTCCCTGTGCTTAGAAACACAGTTTTCCTTTGCACCTCAGACTATTGTGTTCCCCCGCTATCCACGAGAGATTGTCACCTCTGACGTCCGCTCGCTGTACATAGGTACTTCTGTCAGTTCTTGGGTCTTTACCCCACAGGATACGTAAGGCCGTTTGAGTGGTCTCCCTCGAAACCCAGTTTACCCAACCGACGTTATTCACGCATGAGGGTGTGGAGTTAATTGCCTCAGTTGTTAATTGGTCACAGCCGATTTAAATGACTGTCTACGTATCTGGTCGGTATCTTTTCAAGAGTGTTGTTTTAGCTGTCATTTTATTGCTGTTATACATTTGCTTAGCTAAGCCGCTTGTGTGTTTGCTCTGATGTAATTAATTGGGGATCTTTGTCAGCGAAGATTGGGTTTATCTGATCCTTTTATTTGGGGATAACAATGAACGTTTGGTTTTGTTTGTTGTTTTACGCCGCACTCAGCAATATTCCAGCTATATGATGGCGGTCTGTAAATAATCGAGTCTGGACCAGGCAATCCAGTGATTGACATCATGAACATCGATCCACGCAATTGGGATACGATGACATGCTTCAACCCAGTCAGCGAGCCTGCCCACCCGATCCCGTTAGTCGCCTTTTACGACAAGCATAGTCGCCTTTTACGGCAAGCATGGGTTGCTGAAGACCTATTCTACCCCGGATCAATGAACGTTTGAGATTAGTGAGATTAGTGAATCAGGGAGATTAGTGTCTGAATTCAAATCCTCGCGCGTTTCTATCTTATCCCACGGTTTTAAATCGTCTTGTCTCCTCTAGAGAATTCACAGTTAACTTTGCTTGTTATGAATAAACTGTGTTAAGGTGCTGCATGATTGTGCCATCCCTCTCCTGACACCATATGACGTTCATTTACAAGCTGATCATTTGTTTTACTATTAATCCTAAATTCATCCATATTTCTGTAATAAGAACTCTAATACAGACACGACATGTGCCCGGTCTGTGAGGCGAACCGTATTCAATTTACCAAGATATTTTATTCTTTAATTATATGTACAATATTGAGACATAATGATGAGAAACAAACACTTTCCAATCAAACAGATTCCTGTCCAATGTTAAAAATATATTTGTTTGTTTAAGATTGACTTGATGGAGGGATCAACGTAAAATGTGGTGTGCATGCCAATTTATTCGTTCATACCTCCATAACGAAAACAACATTGATGTCAAGTCTTATTGATAAATATGTCAACAATAATTATTTGACAGATTGCTTATCTGAAGATAAACAACAAACCTAGAGACAACAGTACCATGTCAGTGATATTGTTCAGCGCAATAATGCCACACAAACCCCGTCCATTCTGTTTGTCAGCCTTTCAGGAAACAGTAGTTTGAAAGTGGGCATTGCTTAATCTTGTTTTTTCGATTTATGGCAAAATAAATTTCTTGGTTAGCCAATCAAATGCCAAGGAATTGGTTGCAATTTATGTATTCAGAAATGCTTTCTTGAGTTTTTCAATTACAACTTGAGTCATTCAATTTTTTGAAAAAGTGTAAAACTCGGTATACCATGGACCTGAATCGATATAGCAACTTTCTGTAATTAGTTACATTTGATGATAAGGCGGTACTAATAAAAGGCATAATTTCTTATTATTTGTGATGATTCAGAACGGTACATGGTTTCAATAAGGGCATTTGTGTTGGAACAGTTTAGTTCCTCGTCATGAACAAAACAATACAATGTTCTAATCCATAGTGAATGGGCACAAAGAGAGCCGACTTTCAATGGCTTCGTTCAAAGACTCGTCTTTAGAATGTCATGGAGAAAAAACGATTTTCGCCATTTAAAGCAATAATTAAAAGAGACCAAACATATTTCCATAATCAAATCTGAATCTGCCCCAAAACACGGTCGATTTACAATTCCGACTATATTATGAGCATGTGTTTATGTATCACTATAAGATAGTGATGATACCAGGTGTTCGCGAACCATAATTCTTGCAAATAAAAGTGACAAAACCCTTTCCATGTCCACAAGAAATCTCTGGTGAAAGCAGAGTCATTGTACGATTCCGACGGCATCATGAGCGTGTGTTTAGAAATCCCTATAATTAGTGATGATACCAGGTGTATCCTTCCCCACTAGTGGCACCCGTCACAAACACATGCTAAGGCCAGTCAATTGTACTACTAAATAAACACGGGTACATCAAGTCAAAATAGTTGCGTTAAATTTGGAAATGTCCTCAACATGTCTACTATCAAACTTTTTGAAAGCTTTACTGAAGCCTTGAATGTTGTAACCTTGATCTTTGTAATTTGTAATTATTTTTTGTGTGTAAAAACCTTGTAATTTTTTGGTCAAATCCAATTCTCAAGTCTATCCTTACTTTTGCCTGGCAGTTTTGTCAGAAAAAGGTGATGCATTGTTTGTAGTAAAACAGAGGCTTGATATTATTTCTATATATTTATTGCAAGAAAGAAAACACTTGTTTTAGTCCACTGAACCTTCATTCAGAACTTCGACTGGCTTGTTGTCTGTGTTAGATACTTTCCAAGAAGCTAGGTACATCCTAAAAAATCAGTCGGTGGCACCGTACTGGTCGTTTATAACACAACAATTTGCTCTGCAGAGTTGTATTCTTTGGCGTGTGATAGTGCAATTATCCAAGATTCGCAAAGATGTAGGAGCATTTACTTGTCAGAGCCATGTCCAGAAGAGTTGTGATCTTAGACGTTGACTTCAAGAAATCAAACAATGGAGAGGATACGGCAACTAAGGCCGAATGACGCGTATTTGTATATTCAGTGACCATACTTGACGAATAACTCCACTGTCATCTGGCCATTTCACCATGAAGAACGTTTTGTGGAGATTTGTATCAGGGCAGTCAGTCCCGTACCACCACCCAGCCCCATCACGTACAGCGCATCCCGAGGGGTCGGGGCGATCCCACGTGGCGAACCTTTGTCCATTGATGCCCTTGCTCGCTACTCCATACTCAAAACCATTCCCTACAGCACTGGTGGGGTGTTTAAAGCTGCTGCCAAAAGTCAGTTTGTATCCACTGGCGTCATCGTCTATCCTGAACCCTCTGTAGTAAAACTGGCCAACAAGTCCGCCAGCACCCTTTATGTATATATCAAGGTCGCAGTTGCCCTGGTGTGAGATGTAGTGAAGTGCTTCAAGTCCCAACCATCTGCTGCACGAGGTGTCCCAACCAGTCTTGTATTCAGCCCACGTCTTGTTGTAGTCGTTGCATGTCGAAGGCCGTGTCTCAAGTATTGTGTAGCCTCCGTTTGACAGAAGGCATTCCACCAGGTAGTCTCGGGGAGCGTTGAGAGGACGGATGATGACGTGTCGATTGTTGGACGTCACTGCACGCATTCCACCCTCGAAGGCCTCCGTGCAGTCTGAAAACATTAAGATAGCTGTCTCAGTTCTCTTGCAGTTAATTACCAAACCAACAGCACTTACATCCAAATACATTCCTACGCTGTTTGGGCCTACCTTCATCTATAAGGTATCATTCATATATGCTGATGTTTCCCTCGCACGTTGCAAGACTCTCAGTTGCTATCCACACGCATCGATATATTTTTACCTTTATGTTTCAATGATGATGAAAACATCTAGAGCAAGAAACGTATCTGACGGAAATCACACTCACTCACTCACTCACTCACTCACTCACACATACATAAATCTATCTATCTGTATACTAGTGTACTGTCAAACAACGTTCTGCCATCTTGAAGGTACCTACGTAAATACATCGCGATATCCGAGGTTCCACACAACCGACAATTATGAATTAAAAAAGGAATATGCAGGAACCAAGCTTATACTTCGAGACAACCGTAAGCTTGGCACACCAAAGTTCGACATAACAGTGTTTGACAGACACACACAGAGAAAGACAGACAGACACACAACACCACACACACACACACACACACACACACACACACAAACACATAAAAACACATACACACACACACAGACAAACACACACATACAAACACAGACACACACACATATACAAACACATACACACACACACAGACAAAAAAACACACACACAGACAAACACACACGCACACACAGACAAACACACACATAGACAAACACACACATACACACACATACACACACAGACAAACACATACACACACACACAGACAAACACATACACACAGACAAACACAGACACAGACAAACACATACACACACACAGACAAACACACACACACAGACAAACACACACACATACAAACACAGACAAACACACACACACACATACACACATACACACACACATACACACACACTATACTGTTTCGTATTGATTCCCAAATGGTCTTGAATGAGACACGGAGTCTGTTTTGGAACCCAGGAAACAGTGTTGAAAGAAGACAGAAAGGACGGTGCTTTCAGATAGGCTTTCCAAGGCTTCGACATCGCCATCACCTCTAACTTATATAGGTACATATATACCCTGCTAGAAACTACTACCTAACGGAACATCTCGAAAGTTAAGTCAGTCCCTCTGAAGTGAACTGAATTTACGACTGTAAACCATAACTAAGGGAGGTAGCTCTACTCTAAATTCTGACCCGTCACACTCACTATATTTTACAAGCGTTTCAATCAATTATGACCTACATTCTGAATAAATTATATTGATTGATTGACAACCATATTGCTGCCATTTACAATCAATACTACTGTCCACATTTAACCTACTCCAATAACAATACATACACGCACACACAGGCATGCTCGCTCACCCACACACACCGATGATTTTGATACTCCATGATGCAGCTGTCTTTTATGTGACATACAGTTATGCATTTTAAAGAACTGTGGGATGTTTTTGAACAGCTGAAGAATGTATTTCAGTTTAGGTAAAAATTTGTGTTATGAATGCTCTTACTAGAAGGGTTTACACTGCATTGTGCTCAACGTATGTGCACCATATCGTCTGTGGTAGAATTAAGGGTTTATGTGTAATACCAGACATGGGGGCACGGGTGGCCCAGTCGTCTAAGGCGCCGCGGTTCGCTGTGCAGAGTTGCGTCCCTTGTGCACGCCAGAAACCTATGGGTTCGAATCCCGGTTCGCCCCGATCATGTTTCTAGGTTTGTCAGCACCATACCCGTGCTCGTGGGTTTCAACGAAGTCGTAAACGTCTGAGACCTGCATCACTTCGGGCTTTCCTCCCACATTAAGCTGACACGCCGCGATATAACTGTAATACTGTTACAAACGGCGTTAAACCCAACTCACTCACTCACTGATACCAGACATGTTGGAGCGGACAGAGTCTCTTCTCTGGACCAACCTTTAACAAATATCAATGGATTTCGACCAAATTCAACGCACAATGTCGTCCGTGTGCACACCACTGATACATATACGTGATATACATAAATATATACACAAACTTTAACTCATCAACTTGACATAATATCTACGTATATCGACTCACCAGTGTATCGTCTCTCACAGTAGGTTCCCGTGTAGTCATCATAACAGTCACACGTCGACAGGGCAGCGTTGAAAGTCCCGCCGTGCTGGCACACATTCGCCTGAAATAGAACCAGCTGAGGATGAAACGCATTCCAGTTTCTTTTCTTCTTTCTGTGATTCAGAGTGATAAGGATCTCTCCACAAGACTTGATAAGACAAGAGAGATGAATTTTACTTTCCAATTGTTAAATCTCCCCTTGTGCCAAGCAATATCCCAGCCTATACTGTCTACATTTCACAACTTTAGAGGCATAATCGGGCATCCTTTCATTCTATGAAGATTTCAAAGAGCGAAAAACGACTGTTTCTGAAAAGTCCTCATGAAAGTTTTTTAGAAGGTATATGGTAGACATGTGGATGACCTTCTCAAATTTGACGCTTCATCATCAGAATTGATGTCCGATGCAATTCCCAATGCTGTATGTTCCCATATTTCTTCAGATGAGCAATTTACTTGACTTGCAGTTATTTGTGACGGGTGCAAACGCTCGGGCGCTAAACACCTGTTATCATCACTATTTCATAGTGATTCGTGAACACATTCTCGTGAGAATCGTAAATCGATTCTGCTTTTAGTAGAGATTTATTATGAATACGGAAAGAGCTTTGTCGCTTTTATAAATATGAATTAATCTATACATTCGCGGTAAAGTGGTCATCAACAAAATCCTAGATTCGATACCGCTGACGGACCAATCACAAATGCAGGATTCTAAAATGTCATGATGAAAGAATACCAGCGTTCGAAATACCTGCCTGCCCGACCGTCCGAGACGGGTTGATTTCAACTCGGGCTGTCAGATTATCAAATCCCCCTGCCCGACGGTCGGGTTATATTTCATAGGTGAAAATATTCTAAATATTTCTCGATGATAATCATTAATTCACATGTAAAGATGAATGATAAAATGTAACCAAAAAGAAACCCCGTTAGCTTTTAGACAACCTAACATTTAGCGATGCGCTTATGCTACAAGCAATCAGTTTTCATATTTTTAATTAAATTATCCTGAGAAACATATGATTATAGTGGGCAGGCAGGTTTTGGTCAGGGCTGGCAAGCATTTCAGCTAGCCAGTCCCGTGGTCTGGCTGAATCTTTTTGGAGTTTCATACCCTGAGAAAAAATTCATTCGCCTCCATGGTAATCTTCTCCAACTATATCTGCTCCTTCCTTTCTCAAACAATAAAATACAACCTTACTTTTAAAACTTTGACAAAACATTTCTTTGTGTAAAATAGCTGGGGGGAATACAGAACATTTTGTAGTCTGTATTTTTCCTGTATGTGTCTGTCACGTGAAATGTGTTCTCCTCAGGTATGGCACATGCATCAAAGTACGATGCGTGCTCGAGCCTGGCTGGCCCCAAACAAACATTTCATCAAACAAAATTTCAAATCATTCACTTGATTGTCAAAATAGTTGTGTCACAAGTGTGCATTAATTGAAATGGGGGTTCAAACGATAATGAAGGCATAAAAAACTGACAGCCTTTTGTCCAATCGAGGAAATTAGATTGACACAACAGAACGTCACATATGTGTTTCGATGTCCTGGTAAAACCTCGAACAGGTATCTGATCCACGCAAATCCACGAGACTAATCACGATGACAGCCCCATGGCTGAAACTTATGTTTTTCCTTTCCTGTGTTGATTGACCAATGATTGAGCAATACCAATAAATCGACTGAAAGAAGACTTAGGGGAAAATACATTGGAGACATTTAACAGTTACTCACCGGCTCCAGATGGACACACAAAACGGCGGCCTGCAGATTGGAACACGACCCGTTTGACGTCTCAGGTAGTCTGTGACACACCTGTCCACTCTGGGGATCCTCACAGAGGTTGACGGACACGCATCTGGAATCTTCAAGACAGTTTGCCAAACATTGAATTGAAGATGCCACAACATCAGAGTCGACAGGAGTCACCGGAAGCATGAAACCTTCAATACATCCGCGCATAACTGTGAACAGTTCACTTCGGAAATAACCTGAACAGGCACAATAACTGATAAATAGCAAAATGACAGATATATAAAGTTGCATTCTGTCCTTGTTTCCAAATCACCGTCAACTGTACAAGAAAAGGCTTCTGAACTACTTCACTCTCCTCTTGTTGCAACTGACACCAAATTCTTCTCCGACCATGTCTCTGTTGAATCACAGTTACTCTCTGATCATATGAATCCAGCTCGTAACTATTGGTCCAATCACAGAGTCAAACAAACACCCTGATGGAAACCAATGGGAACTATCATAGAATACCTTTTGACGTCCGTTGCCAACACAATTAAGTTCTCTGATTCAAAGGAATATTGGAAAGAAAATAATAAAATCTCCTGTTCTAAGTATGGGTGATTGATGTAATTGTGATGTAAATGTGATTTTTGAAAATAGTTTGTATACATCAATCAAGTTTCAAACGGACTTTGAAAGACGGTTTGATGAATGTGTAGTACTAATAGAACGGAGTTGTATAATTTAACAATTTAACAACATTGTGTCATGAGACATGTCCTTCCATTGGTTGGAGGCATCTAAGTATTCGACGGCGTTAGAAAGTCACACCAGCGGCCGTATGCAGATTGGCCCACGCTCCATTTGATGTCTCAGGTAGCCTGTGATCCACCTGTCCACAGTAAGGATCATCACACAGTTTTACGGGGGCACGGGTGGCCCAGTCGTCTAAGGCGCCGCAATTCGCTGTGCAGGGTTCCGTCCCTTGGGCACGCCAGAAACCTATGATTGTGGGTTCGAATCCCGGTTCGCCCCGATTATGTTTCTAGGTTTGTCAGCACCATACCCGTGCTCGTGGCTTTCACCGAAGTGGTAAACGTCTGAGACCTGCATTACTTCGGGCTTTCCTCCCACATTAAGCTGACACGCCGTGATATAACTGGAATACTGTTAAAAGCGGCGTTAAACCCAACTCACACACTCACTCACTCACACAGTTTTACGGACTTGAAGCTAGAATCTCCAAGACATTTTGACAAACCTCAGGATGCCACACCGAGGTTAACCCTGAAATATGTTGGCCAGAACTGAATTATATAATTAGTAAATGACCACTCAATATCAGTGAATGATCAATAAATTATATTCAAACAAAATTTTGGCACTGTCGAAGGTTGTGAAACAGTCATGATCTACACAATCAATCATGACCCCCTTGAATGGCTCTTCAAACGCTAGGTATTGTCTGATTATGTTTTCGAACCACATGATCTTCAAAACAAGCCCTTGGTGTCTACATTTCACAACTTTTGAGGTACAATCAAGCATGCTCAATCTACCAATATTTCAGAGAGCATCATACAACTCTTGCTCAAAAGTTGTTTGATCAAGGATACAACATTCAAGGCCTCGTCAAAGCTTTCAAAACATTCAAAAAGTTCTATGGTAGGTATGTGGAGCACCTTTCCAAATTTGACGCATCAGCGACAAAACTTATGCCCGATGCATTCCCTATTTTGACTTGTACCACGTGTTCCCGTTTTTTTTAGGTGAACATTTGACTTGCCTTTGTATGTGTTTGTGATAAGTGACGGGTTGCACCGGTTGGGCAGGAAACGCTCACCTTTTCTTGAAGTCTTGGTATCATCACTTTTTGGTAGTGATTCATGCTAATGAATCGACCAATTAACTGCTTTAAGGAGAAATTTCTTATGATTCGAGAAAGGGTTTCGTCTCTTTTGCTTTAGTGAGTTTTTAACTTTAGGCATGGTATTCATTTAGAAATATTAATAACTATTTGACATAATGAAACAGAACCTGTACTAAACGAAGTGTATAGAGGGGGGGGGGGGGGGGGGGGGGGGGGGGAACTATTCTTTTACCAGCGACAAACACTATTATCTCCAAATAGTCACAAAGTATTTATTTGAAGTTTTTTTAAACCGATACTATAAATTAATTAATTAATTGTTTCATAAACGGAATACTTATCATTGCGCTGTTTGTAACGGGAGATGGATGACGAGCGCCACTGGTGGGGCAGGATACGCTAACCTTTTTGTTCACACCTGGTATCATTACTATTTGATAGTGATTCATGAACACATGCTCGTGATATGTTGGAATCGTACAATCGACTCTGTTTTGGGCAGATGTTTCTTATGAATATGGAAAGGGTTTTCTCGCTTTTATTTACAAAACTGTGACACATCCTGACACGACATCTATGGGGAACCAAAATTTGGTGAAATACTTTCCACTTATTTTCATAAAAAACTTCTGGATGTCTCTATTTTCTCATCAAAACAACGTCTTGGTAGTCGCGTTGGAAGAAAGTGCTCGTCAAGCATATACTTTAATTTCAGGATTGTCAACATACAAAGAAATGAGATACGTTGAACGTGTTCAGAGCAAGGAAACCTCGAAACAAAATGACTGAGCGTCTCATTTTAAGTGAAAGTATCCTTAAGAGAATCCTGATGGACCCGAAACCCAGTCACGCTGTAGTCGCATGTGTTTGTGACGGGTGCTACTGGTGGGATCGGATACGCTCAACGTTCCGCGAAATCATCACTGGTTGAGAGTGATTCCTAAACACATGCTCATGATAATGTCAGAATCGTACAATCGACTCTGTTTTTGGCAGGGATTTCTTATGAATATGGAAAGGGTTATTCACACGATGGTGCATTTTCAATTACGTCTGATGGCACTTTCTTACCGATGTATTCTTCTATTTAACTGATTTTGCTGGGACCATATGGTCGTACTAACATGTGGCACACAGTTAGAAGTGTCAGAGATATTTATAAACTGACCTCCAAAAGAAACTTTACCAGAGTTTGAAATCACTCTTGCGCTAAAACAACAAAACATACATGCATGAAGTAAAGTGTATTGAGAAGATCAATATATCAACACTTAAAATGACAATCATACCGGGGCCGAGAATGACGTCAGAGCCCCCCAAAGTTGGGTGTGGTGCAAAACTCGAGCTTTCAGAATCATAGACAATAGGCAGAGTACATAAAAAAATCGCTCACGTTCAATAAAAAGTCATCAGTAGCGTGTGTGACCACTAAATGCCTCAATACACGCAAAAAACGCAAAAAAGTTAGTCGTCTGATGAGGTCACGTGGGATTTGACGCCATTCTTTTTGGTGGGCCAAGATCAGTTCTTGCCGGTTGGCTGGAGAGTGCGGTCGTTGTCGAACACGACGATCCATCAAGTCCCAGAGTTGTTCTTTGGGGGACATGTCGGGTGAGCGCGCAGGCCACGGCAGGACGTTGACGTTGTTGGCTGCGAGGAAGTTAGTGACAATTCTGGCTGTATGGGCTCTAGCGTTGTCATGCTGATAAATGACACAACGTGGTTGCTATTGGAGAAATGGTAGGACAACTGGACGAAGAATGTTATCCATGTAACGCTGAGCTGTCAAGTTTCCTTCAACGATGACCAGCGGTGTCCTCTCCTGCCGACAGATCGCTCCCCACACCATGACACTCCCTCAACCATATGGTACGGCCTCCTGCACGCAATACGCCGCCGTTCGTTCACCCCTTCGGCGGTAAACACGTTGTCTTCCATCAGCCCTAAACATACAGAATCGACTTTCGTCGTTGCAAACGTCGTACAGTCCGGGCCCATCTCAATCGCAGACGACGATGTTGCGCTGTCAATAGCTGTCTTCTGTATGGTCTAAAAGCCCTGTTTTCATTAGCCCTGAGTCTCCTCGCCACTGTCTGTCGACTAACCCTGTGACCTAAGGCCTTTGTTGCCCATGACGTCACTGTCAGGAAGCGATTTCGGAGGTGCAAGGTACGCAAGTACCGGTCATCAAGGGGCGTGGTCACCCTGGGTCTGCCTGTTCTTGGCCTGTCAGCGGTCCGCCCTGTCTGTCTGTAACGTTGCATCAAGTTGGTAACGGCAACACGGGAGCAACCGAAGGTTCGTGGAATATGGGCGTGGGTGGCTCCCATCTGTACCATACCCAAGGCTCGTTCACGTTGTTCGACTGTGAGTCGTGGCATTTCTTTTGTGTTTTTTTATCACTGTTGATGACTGACTTGCCGTTGCAATCGTTTTATACCCTTACCCGCACGTGCATTTGCAGTTGTCCGTGCTGCACGTGTTTTTCACTTTTTCGCGTGTTATCTCGCAAACATGTAACAGACGATTAACATTTTCTGCATACACTATTGTTGTATTTAGGTTATGTGTTTTAGATAGACTTCATCGAAAAAAAATTCTTTTGGACGTTAGTTTATATAGCTCAGACCGTTCGGATGAGATGTTTAAGCGTTTCACTCACTCTGCTCTGAGTGGTCTTCAAGTGGCACGTGCATTACTCATGGGCGACTCCCACAGGTAACAATGGAGTTCTTTTTAAATGGGGTAAAAACAACATAGATTTAACATTTTTATGCTAGTGTTCTTTGAATGAATGTTGGCCATGGTTCCAATTGATAAGACCGAGTCGGATCGGATCCGATATACCATCGTTGAAATGTTCAGTTAAACCCCTTTGCGCCTTGATGTTAAACTGAAAATTTCAAAAATTAAACATCAGAATGGAGTGGTCTAACCTATACATAATATTTAAACAATCGTTTCACACTTCACTCGCATGAAAAAACAACAACTAATGATAAAATATATAAATTATAAATAGCCACACCATACATTCACACGATAGTTTAGTTGTAATCGTTTAATATTCAGCAATTGCATTTTCAAGGGTCCTCTACAGTGATGATAAAGACCATTCGTCTCTGTAAACGACTCAGAATGATTCGGGTTATAATTGGTCTTCACCAACCCATGTTTTTCGAAAGAGGCGACTAAGGGGAGATCAGGCTCGCTGGCGTGTTTGTCATCGTATCCCAATTGACTAGATCGATGTTGATGATGTCAATCGTTTTGTCCAGACTCGATTATTTACAGGCCGCCGTTATATAGCTGGAATGTTGCATTAACAAAACCATACACGTTTCTTTAAACACAC